CACTCCAAATTTAACGTGTGACGTCATTTGACATCAGCAATTCGTTAATTCGTTAACGGATTGCTAACGTCAGATGATGTCAAATTAACAGATTGCTGATGTTAAATGACGTCACACGTTAAATTTGGGGTGATTTGTCCAAGTCGAAAACTTTGTGGGTGGATTTGTCCCTGTTTTTTGTTCGAGGGTGGATCCGTCCCTACCACTATACTTTGGGGGTGGATTTGGGTATGCTGCCTACTCTAAATTGTGATTGGTATTGGTATGTTGTAGAGTTCTACGGAGTTTGTTTGAAACCTAGATCTAGGTTTTTCTAAAACCCAAATCTGGGTTTCATCACAGTTAACAATTAAAAATTTTTCTAGGAAACCTCCAATGAAAAATACACATTATTTCTTCTCGTCTATCGAATCGATCATAACCACTGCCTACATTCCAAAGCTTCTTGGCTGTTTGAAAAAACCCAAAGCCTAGGTTTGCAGAGGCAAGAGAAAAGGAAAGGTAAAGGAGAGAAAATGAAAAAGGAAGAAGAAATCTGACGTGGGTGAAAAAAAAATATTATTTTTAAATTAAATGAAAATGCCAACTCATAAAAAAAATGCCAACTATGTTTTTTTTTTTCATGTCATTAGTTAAGAAAAAAAAGAATTGATTTGCTGGCATTTTAACATGCCACCTATCATTTAATTGACGGAAGTATCATTTTGGTACCGAAAATGAAAGTTTGAGGATAATTTTGGTACTTTTTAAAATTGAGGGACAATTTTGGTGCCAAAGTAAAAAGTTGAGGGACCAAAATGATACTTAAACTAAATCAAATCGTGTCATATCCATAAGAAATTTTATTTTTTTTTTATTTATTAAATTTGAAATTAAAATTTTTATTTAAAAAAAAAAGTACCTTTCATCAAAATCCACATGTTTGGTTGGTAGGGATATTATTGCTTATGTGATTGGAGTTGAATTTCCTAAAAACTAGTTGTATGTTTTGTTATCTATTTTAATGTATCTCTCTTTTCACCAAAAATAAAAATAAAAAACTAATTGTTTAGTATAAAAGTTTAAAATTAATAATACAGGCCAATTAGATAAATAGAATCTTGTGTTACAGTCTGTCATTTTTATTAGATAAATAAAAATATTAAGATTATAAACAATAAAACTATTAATTATTTACCATTGACATATATTATTCCTTGCATTTGAGCAACAAATTCAAACACTCCAACATTTGATTGGTCGTATGTAATCTAGAGATGAATGGGATTTTTTTTGGGGGGGGCTTTATGTTCCATTTGATACGTTAAAATCATAGGGTACATGAAGGTACCATTGGGTCAGAGGCTCATCAACAGCAGTAGGGGACCTTAGCTGGGTAAGCATGTGTTGTAGATGCCTAAATGGTATAGGGGTACCACTGGACGTAAGGGTTTAGGATCCAATTATTTTTTTTCTTATTTTATGTATAATTAGAGTGTCTCTGAATTAATTTTTACGTCAACAATTTAAATATCTTAGTGGGTATCTCTTTTCACTTTTCGCTAGAAAGAAGAGATTTTGAGTTTGAATCACATAGAATACAAGTGGAGTAAAATAAAAGATGAGAGATAATTGTTTTCAATTATACAACCAAAATAAAAAAAAAAATACATATCATAAGACTCATTGTTCTCTAAATGATCTTAAAAGCTTACTTCTCACATAATTAATTTTCTTGAGTATTAATTTTAAAATTTAAATTATAAATCTAATTTATAAAATGGCACTTATTTATAAGAAAATTTAAGCCTTAAGGTTTAGGATCCAATTGGTAGTGTTTTGAAGTTGAACAACCAAAATGAAACCACATGCAAACATCACTATCCACAGGTCCTATTTTTCACTCGACTTCACATTTGTAGCAGTATGAGATACAGCCCATTGGGCTTCATACTAGTTCTCAAAATTTCAAACGGAAACAACGTGACACTAAAAGCCCACAACTCTTAAAGTTCGGCCCAAATCACCAGGTACACCGGATATTTCCGTCCAGAATCAGTGGCAGTTTGGTAATTCAACCCTCGTCTTCTTCCTTAAAACCCTATTCACGCCTCCCCCTTAGCAATTTCTCTTTTCAGTTTTCTTACAGCGTTTTTTTCTCTTCTTTTCTTTGCATCTTGATGTTTTTATTTCTGTTTTTATTTTTTTTTTTTCTATTTTTTTTTTTCAATTTTCGTTTCGATTTCTGCCCGTTGATGTATAAAATGAACATGCAATGAGCGGTAGCTTTTGGTTTTGTTTTCGTCTCTAGCCTTTACTCACCGCCGCCACCTTTAGATACTGGTGCGGTGGTGTGTAGAGGCTTTGGATGAACGCCATTGGTGCAATGCCGTTGATGATTTGCTCAAAAGCTATGAGATCTGAGGGCTCTGCTGTAGTTTTATCACTTTAAAGGGTACCCATTTGTCTAAGTATGAAGTTGGATGATGAAATATGCACTGGGCTCTGAGCAGTTCTATTCACTGCAATATTGATGTACATCCTGCCTAGAAAGCTTATCTGACCACTTTCCATTGTTATATGTTGAAAAGGTTATGTTTTGGCAGTGATTTTGTTGCATATGGGTGTTGGTAGAGAATAATAAGGTAAATTCTGCTTTGTGGATTCTTTTGTTTTTTTGGGTGATTGAGTTTCTTTGATTGTTGACTGCTTCTGTAATCCATACATGATGGGTTTGGTGGAGTAGTTTCAGTTTAGCCATTTGTGGAGAAATGGGTTTTCATTGCAGCAATTGTTTTTGTTCTGATGGTGATGAATGATTTTTTTGGAAGGTATATGTATTGTCTGCAAATTCTATGGCATAGAAATCCCTTGGTTTTGTCACTGCCCAATGATGGAAAACTCATTGTATGGAGCAGCAACACTGGTATTCGTTTTGAGACTTTACACCACCGTAGTTGTTATCATCATCATATCCATTTCTGTCTGTCTGTCTGTCTCTCTCTTTCTCTCTCTCTCTCTCTCTCTCTCTCTCTCTCTCTCTCTCTCTCTCTCTCTCTCTCTGTTCCTCTCTTCCTTTTCTGTCACGGCTATTGGTGTGTAAATGATCTTAATGGATGTCAGATGGCTAGGCTGCAAATGACCAAATGAAGCTATGAGATCTGAGGGCATTTCTTTGGAGATCCTCATGAATATAAGATGTCTTATAATCTTCTGTGATGCTAATTTGATTTTATTGTATGATGGACTGATGATAAGAAAAAAGTTCTTTCCTTATTATGCCTACATTCTTGTTTTGTTGGTGTGTTTAAGTAATTAGTAGTTTCCCAGTATCAATATCATAGCGTTGGCGTTGGGGTTGTTAATTTGGTTAGGGAATTTGCACTTTGCAGTTGGCATTCTGCAGTGAGAGATTATTTGACGTTTCATTGAAATTTTTAGGAGAATTTCAGTATCATTAGTATATCTAACATGTTTGCATAATTCTTGAGACTTGTGAGCACTAGAGTTCACTGTTGTCATAATTTTGGCCCATGGCCCTTGTTTTTCTCCTTATTTACTACAGCTCCTCGCATAATTTGATCTAATTTACAAGGAAGTAGAGTTTTCAGTTGTTGCACTTTTTCTTTTGTTTCTATAATGACTTGCAGTCTTTCTTGTTTCCCCACTAGAATTCCAAGTCGGTAGCCTTTGTATTAGCACGTAGTGAGGATATTATCTTTTAGTTTTTTGGCCATCGTGAACATGTTATCCAGACTGCGTGCTTTTTACTCTTGAACTAGGCTCCTCCCCCCCCTCTTTTTGTTGTGATCTCACTTATGTTAAATAGATGCTGAGATTCGTTTTTTCAATTCATAGGCATGATTTCAATAAATTAAATTATACTAGCTTGTTTTTGAAAATTTGCCCTTTAGGGGTCTTTGGGGTCTATATTCTGCCCAATGATGGAAACTCATTAAGTGGAGATTGCTTTGGTTTTCTCCGTGAGCCTCCATGCTTTCTTCCACTCATCAGTTTTAGCTGCTGCTGTTGCTGCTTCTTCATCACCATCATCTTCTTTTTTCCTATTTCTTCTTCTTCTTCTTCTTCTTCCTCTACTTTTATTATTATTATTATTATTTTTGCTACTACTACTACTGATGATGGCGGTAGATATGATGTGGAAGGTTTGCAGTGAAACCATAAGCTTCAAAATCAATGAACTTTTATTGCTATGAGATCTGAGGGCAATGTAATTAAATTAAATGAGACATCCTTAGGCAATGTAGTTCTGTTGTTTGTAATTAATAGTTCAAAGGTGTTGGCATCATAGTCTTGGAGCATTTGTGACAGTAGACTTTATTCCATTCTCACATAGTTCTATATATATATATATATATATATATATCTGTGTGTTCTATTCTTTCCTTTGTTTTATTTTAATGTTGGATCTGCCCAATGATGCACAAATGAACTACATGGAGTGGTTGCGTGGTTAGTTCATCAGTAGTCTCTATGTACCACCTCTGTTCGTGTGTGTTGTGTGTGTTTTGGTGGTTGCCTGTGCGTGTGCATGTGTTTTGGTGGTGGGTAAAGTCTTCGTGATGAATCCCATTAGCATTTTACCACGAATGATCCTATCTAAGCTATGAGATCTGAGGGCATTTTCTTGTTTCTTATTTTTGAGGCTTGTGGTCCTCATCTGATTTCAACTACGTGAAGCATAAACATAATGTAGTACTGTCATTACCATCAAATTTTCTGCTATGCCAGCCGTGGTGATTAGCTGACCCTGTTTTGGGAATGCATGCAGGATGGGAATGAAGAAACATTATGGATCACATCTCATTGAACCAGTTGGCAGCTTTTGATCTCTATCTGTTCTTGACTACCTACATGTGGCCTCTCATTCTGTTTCTTGTTCGGTGGAAGCAAAGTCAGGAAACCTGCATGTATGGTGATTCTGTGAATAACATTATTGATGCAATGGTTTTGATAATGCTTATACTAGTAACCTGGAAATGGTCTGGCTCCCTTTGGCTTACCAAAAAAACTAGTCTGGGATACAATCAATGGAATCCAAGCAATTTCAATCTCGTTAATATTTTGCGCTATTAGACTTTTTTTTTTTTTCTTGGATGTTGGTTGCATAATGAGAGATAATTATTTTTTATTTTTTATCTCATTTCATCCGTATATTATGTGATTTGAATTTATGATTTTTTATTTTTAACCCAAGTAATTAATCACTAAATTATTTAAATCGTTTACGTTATTAGACTATTAGTATCAAATATGATGGGATTCCCCCTTTTTCCTTTTGGTAAAAAATCGAAAGGAACTCTTCAATTTAGAATCTTTTGGTGACACATTCTGCTTCCTCCTAAAATTTAGAAGCTACTCCATTCCAAAGTGTCATAAGCAGCTTCTCCAGCTTGTGCATAGATTGATCCAAATCCTAACAAGAGGTGTACTGAAGTCTTTTGTTAGACACAATTACTTATCAAAAACAATAAACGAAATAAAACAACGGAAATGTATTTTATAAAATGAATTGTACATTAAAAGCATAATTTGCTCTATAAAATTATTAAAATATTTTAATTAAGATAATATAAAAATAATTTTATTAAAAATATTTTAATACATTTATAAAATAAATTATCCTTTTAATATGCAGTTTGTTCTAAAGAACATAGATGCCATAAAAGAAATTGATATTAATTTTTTTAGGATTCATTTGGCCATGTCTGCTACAAGTCTTAGTAAAATAAAAAAAGGATTTATCTAATTTATGTTTTAAAGTATAAGTTAAAAGTTTAATTATTATATTTTTTATATTAATTATTATTAAAAAATATAAAAATCTCTTTAATTTTATCACTAGTGTCGTATAATCTATATTAATTAAATAATTATTTAAATAAAAATTAAGTTTTATTTTTTTAATAATAAATAATAATAAAATATAAAAATTATATTTTTAAGGTTTAATACCCAATTTGGTCCATAAACTTTCTTTTTGAAACTTAGTTCGTCCTTTAACTACAGAAAGGACACAAATCATCCTTAAACTTTATTTTTCCAAAACCCAAATGGTCCTTCCGTCACAGAACTGCACACATGGCAAGTTAAGTCTCCTCCAATTACCTTTTTTAATTTTTACAAGCTTATGTGGACAATACACATCACCCAATTGATGAGATGGCAACATTGTCTCTCTCTCTTTGTCAATGCAGAATAGCCCCCCTTCTAGATTCACTCTCCCTTCTAGGTTTCTTCCAACCTGGGGAGATTCCATCGGGTAATTCTAGGGGAAATCAACCTGAAGCTGGTAGAAATCGAGCATATGAAATCAAGAGGGAGTGGTGAGGAAGAGAAGTAGCTAATCATGGTCATGTTGAGAGAGGGCTTCAGAGGGATAGAAGAGAGCAAGATGGAGTCATTAGAGAGCTTGTTTCTGATTTTGGGGTAGAGAAGCTTCTGTCGCTTGGGCA